AAACTCTTAACCATCAAACTTCTATAACCACAAAATAAAAAAACAAACAGCCATTCCCTACCAAAACCCAGCCCTGCTTGCAAAATTCAGGGTGGTGTTCTCTCTAGCTAATCTTCAGTTAGTTGTAAGTAGAAAGGATCCACTTCTCTGCAGAACGATGCATTAAACCTTACATATAACCCTCCAGACACTGGTGTCAAACTTTAAAAGGTTAGCATTACAAAACAAACGGTTGTTCCGGAAAAACTCTTTAACATCCTTCTCGTAACGACTACTCAGATTAATAAGAAAGAAATCCAGTGAAAAATGACTGCCAAGAAGTATGTGAGGATTCTTGCTCAGACCCCTTGCGGGACAGCCAAGGGCCTAGTCAGGAAAATTCCAAGAGCGAGTCCTCAACATCCCCGCGAAAGGGGCTTCAGATCGGCTAGGATCTTCTCCTTCCTCGAATCTAATAGGTAAACACGTATCAAAATCCTCCAAACTCCGGAGAACCGAGAGTTTTCATGCCAGGAGGGAAAGATCCACAGGATAGCCGAGAAAAACTACAACCCATTAGCCTCTTCCAGCCCCTCCGATCCTTCGCGGGACCACGCACCACGGGTCCCTCGCCCCCGCAGTCCCAAGCCAGCCCCGCGAGTGACAGATCGCCCAGCAGAACCCCCTTAATCCCCAGCCCCACTTACCGGCGCCGTGAACACAGGCGGGGGCCCGCCCCTGCGGTGAGCGCAGCTCCTCGGCGAGCCGCGCGCAGCCGCCGGCTTGGGAACTGAAAATGGGGACAACCCGTGCTAGGACAGGCCGAGGGCTCCGTGCGGGGACGCCCGGGAGGTGCGGCGAGTCGCACGGGCCGCTCGGCGCATGGTAGTGCAGCAGGGACCCGGCCGTTTTCCAGCCTCCGGCAGGAAAACAAACAAAAGGCTGGGTGGCTGCTAGTGGGGACGACCAGCCGCTTTCCCTGGGAAAAGTTACCCTGCAGCTCCCCTCGCTGGTCCAGCGCGTCCCTGCACCGCGTCCGCCTCGCCCCGGGGCGCCGTGCCGCGCCGCCCAACCGAGGGCGGCCTTGAGCCCTGGGAATCCCGCCGCCAGCCGACCGCGACCGCGACCCCGGCTCCAAACTCACGGCCGAGACAGGTCAGCTCTGTCACCATCCAGATTTTAAAATGCAGGCTGTCTTTGCACGTTCTGAGTACGCTTAATCCAAGGTAACCACGATCACAACATTTTTCTGATTTTAAAAACCAAAGCTGATGCCACTGAATTGTAATACTCAAAAACGATGAAATGGTAACTTTTGTTATATATATTTATTTAAAATAAAAACGCAACTGATTGCCTGTTAGCATTAACTTGAACTTTTAAAAGTTGTATTGTGAGCAACTTTAGTTTGAAAGACTGGATTCTCATCGAGGTGGGATGAGCTATCCTCCACACAAGGTCCTCTCTCGGTAACTAGTTATGTGAAACCTAACACTAACACGTACTTTTAAACACATTCACTTATATAATAAGTTATATTGGCTCGGCACCTGTGGCTCAAATGGCTAAGGCGCCAGCCACATACACCTAAGGTGGCGGGTTC